GCACCCCCATTTTTTCGTGGGCTACACTCCAGGGGGTGCTGCAGCACCCCCAGCACCCCTACTTCCCGCGGTAATGTGTCTGTGTATATTTAATATGTATAAATACACATGCATGTATATATTTAAGATAAATATGTTGTGTGTATATATATATATATATATATATATAAATTATATGAATATACATTTATGCATGTAAATACATGTAAATATTGTAAAAAAATATATATACTGTATGTGTGTATTTATATATACATGATAAATATATACAGCACACATACATATATTATGTAAACAAAAACTTTTATTTTGGATGCGATAAATCATTTGACAGCACTAATTTTAATATATTTTAAAATGTAATTTATTACTGTAATGGCAAAGCTAGATTTTCAGTATTATTACTCCAGTCTTCAGTGTCACATGATTATTTAGAAATCATTCTAATATGCTGATTTGCTGTTCAAGAAACATTTCTTATTATTATCATGTGTTTTTGCAAACTGTGATACATTTTTTTTATCAAGTTCAAAGCAATCTGTATTAATCCGACACTAGTTTGTCTAGTAAACCCATTCTGTTATATTCATAATTGGTTCAAATTTAGTCTGGCCTACTGGTTAAATGCATGCATAAAAATTTAATTGAGTGAAAACATTATTCGTTTCCACACTGAACTCATTGACTTATGGAAAGAAGAGCTGCCTGGTACAAGTTGTGTTTGTGGGATCCTAGTTCAGTGGCTATTTAAGTTCAGTCCATGTGAAATTCCCATCACTTTAAATTGGCAGTTTCTCTTAGCAGTCCTCACCACACTTGCATCCCAAATGTAGAAATGATTAGACCCGTGTATTATGTAATATGTTACATGAGTTACAGGGCCATCTCCTTTTGCGTTATTCAACTTGTGTATATAAACTAAAGATTAACTGCTCATAGTGGATAGGAAAGTGGAAGAACACTAATCATAGATGCAGTTCTTGGCTACAAACCTTCAATTTAGAGCTCTAAATTACATGCAAAGTGCAAGCCTTAGATCTGCCATGGTTCATGATGGACAACTGAATCAACCCACCGAAAAATAAAAAATAAAAAGAAGAAGAAAACTCTCAAACAAAACTCTGTCCACAGAAACCACTCATCCATTACACTGACTCCAGTTTTCGCTGAGCTGCTCCGATCATTCCAAAACATTACATCATTGCACAGAGAGGGAACATCGCTACTATGGCCAGAGCGTCTGTACAGGACTGTACACTGGCTCCTTTGTGATGTCCACAATGTGTGTCCAAGGCAACCACTAGGTAGAGAGGACGTCCCATAAGGGAATGCTTCTTGTCTTCTTCTCGACAACACATGGTAATGTTGAACATTCTTTCTCTGTCTGTACTGTTGTCACACTGACTGTTTAAAGATGCTGCTGCCAATGTCTGCTTGAGGTCCGTGGTGTGCGTATCATATTCTTTGCTGAATATGGACCATTGATGTCTCATGAAAGCAGTGTCAGGTTTGGGCCCATGTTTTCGCCCCAGGATCTTCCCTACAGGCCGTAGAGCATCCAGAAGCCATGTTTGAGGTCTGCTCTGCTTGTTTATGTATGGTTACACCCAGAGCTGAATTTAACCCCAGCTTCCATCTGCTGCAACACCCAGGGCCTGACGGAGATGAGACCGGTTTGGGTCGGTCTGTGCCGCTCGCTTGCTACTAAGCACAGCTTGCTCCTATGTGTTATTATCGTCAGAGGCGTCTCCTCTGTGGCAATATTCTTTTTTAGACCTTTTTTTTGCTTACGTTGACCTTAAGGTTCATTTAAGGTACTTTGTAGCCAGATTTCTTGTCAATTTTATAGTAAATATGAAAATATTTAAATCATAAATAAGGAAATATTTAACAAAGAATATTGAAAAGGAGGAAAACACCTTTAAAAAATATTTTTTTTTGTCACTGTCATTTTCCTAAAGAGAATTTTTAATTAGCATTTTATCTAATTATTTTTAGCTAGATTTCATGTCAATTTTATGGTAAATAAGAACAATTTTAAATAATAAACAAGGAAATATTTAATGAAGAATAATAAAAAGGAAGAAAACATTTTCTTTTTTATTTTGACTGTCATTTTCAGTTGTAAGAAAGTTTTCTAACATTTTATTGAATTTTGTTTAGATATCTTGTCTAGTTTGTGGTAAATATGGAAATATTGAAATAATAAACAGGGAAATCAATTACAAAGAATATTAAAAGGAGAAAAACACATGACGATAAAAATTAATTTGGTCATTTTGAATGTCATTTTCATTTGTAAGACCATTTTCTATTAGCATTTTATGAAATTTTACTTTTAGCCAGATTTCATGTCGATTTTATGGTAAATATGAAAAGTTTTAAATAATAAAATGAGAAAATATTCAACAAAGAAAATGAAAGAGGGGGAAAACACATCATTCATCAATATTTTCATATTTTCACGCGACAATTTTCTTTTAACTTTTTTTATTTATTTTGTTTTAGCCAGACTTAATGTCATTTTTATGGTAAATATGAAAAAAAAGGAGGAATGTTAAAAAGGTGGAAAATATGTCATAATTTTCTTTCTCATTTTAACTTGTATTACAATTTTTTATTAGCATTTTATCAAATTTTGCCACTTTATTCTAATATAGGCCTACTCATGCACCCAACCTTGTTTTCAGATGACATTTTGGGAGATGACACTCTAAACTGGTGCTTTTCCTCCCTCCTCGTCATGCCACAGAGTTGGTATTCTGGGCTTCAGTGTGCCCTATTGGCCTAGCCACAGCCCGACAGCCTTTCATTACACTAGCCGAAGGAGGTGGCCTGGACATCCCCATCGAAGACACCATCACCACACCCCAAAGGGTGCCCAGCTCCGAGCTGTTCCCTGGATACATCAACAAGAGAGATGAGAAAACAGCCGCTCTGTTTGTACATCATTTAACTGGCAATCATCAAGGTAAGCACTTCTAAATCTAAAAGCTTGAGGGCTGTCTTTGTTGTAGCTTAATTTGATGATATTGTGGTGACATAAAATCACCATTTTGCTGTGATTATTTGTGAGGTTTAATTAGATAGCAATAATAATGTGCAGGTATTTGATCACGTTTACTGTCATTCATAAAATCTGAATTGTTATTTCAGCCTGACCTATTATAGATGGGCTTGTGATGGATTGTTCATTCATCCAGGGAGTTTATCCGCCTGTGTTAGAAGTTGCTCCGGCATCCCTGCAACCCTACATAGAACAAGTGGTTTGGAAACTGGATGGATGGATGTCATGGCTGGAACTACACCGCCACCTGCTGATCAAATAGAACTTGCTCGGCAGTTCCTTCCTTCCACATTCTATAAAAGTATGTACTTTAGTAAATTAGTGACATACATAATTATACAGTTGAAGTCAAAAGTTTACATACCTACACCTTGCAGAATCTGCAAAAAGTTAATTATTTTACCAAAATAAGAGGGATCATACAAAATGCATGTTATTGTTTATTTAGTACTGACCTGAATAAGATATTTAACCAAAAACATGCTTACATATAGTCCACAAGAGAAAATAATAGTTACATTTATAAAAATTACCTTGTTCAAAAGTTTACATACACTGTAAAAAATGACCGTGAATTTAACGGTAAAAGACTGTAAAAATGCTACAGTAAAAACCTGTTAAATGGTTAACGGTAAATTCCCCTACTATATACGGTGAAAAACTGTATTAGACATTACATGTATTGGACATTAATTTTACGGTAGTATACCGTTTTTGGAAGTGAAAAAGACCGTATAATTTACAGTGAATAACCGTAAATTGACATGCCCAGAATTCCCTGCGTTACATTTCAAATTTGATGTTTTTTTGTTGAAATTCCCACAGCTGTTTTTATGTTTTGGGTTAGTTTTTCATGAGTCCTTTGTCCTGAACAGTTCAACTGCCTGCTGTTCTTCAGAAAAATCCTTCAGGTCCCACAAATTCTTTGGTTTTCCAGCATTTTTATGTCTTTGAACCCTTTCCAACCATGACTGCATGATTTTGAGATCCATCTTTTCACACTGAGGACAACTGAGGGACTCATATGCAACTATTACAGAAGGTTCAAACGCTCACTGATGCTCCAGAAGAAAAAAAAAAACATGCATTAAGAGCCAGGGGTGTAAACTTTTGAACAAAATGAAGATGTGGATATTTTTCTTATTTTGCCTAAATATAATACTTTTTCATTTAGTACTGCCGTTAAGAAGCTACAGAAGATAGTTACATGTTTCCTAGAAGAGAAAATAAGTTCAATTTACCCTGATCTTCAAATTCAAATGCTTTTAATGCTTGATTTTTTCTTCTGGAGCATCAGTGAGTGTTTGAACCTTCTGTAATAGTTGCATATGAGTCCCTCAGTTGTCCTTAGTGTGAAAAGATGGATCTCAAAATCATACAGTCATTGTTGGAAAGGGTTCAAATACACAAAAATGCTGGAAAACCAAAGAATTTGTGGGACCTGAGGGATTTTTCTGAAGAACAGCAGGCAGTTGAACTGTTCAGGACAAACAAGGGACTCATGAACAATTATCACTAAACACAAACACAGCTGTGGATCATTCAGGTAACAACACAGTATTAAGAATAAAGTGTATCTATACTTTTGAACTATTTTTATACTTTTTATAAATTCAACTATTATTTTCTCTTGTGGACTATATGTAAACATTTTATGTGAAATATCTTAAAAGGTCAGTACTTAATAAACAATAACATGCATTTTGTATGATCCCTCTTATTTTGGTAAAATAATTAACATTTTGCAGATTCTGCAGTGTGTATGTAAACCTTTGACTTCAACTGTACATGATTAATTTAATGAGTGAGACTATACCAGCTAATTAAGCTTTGCGTTGTTGTAATGTAATAATAGGAAGAGTAAAATGTGTATAATTAAAGAGGTAATGTCTGTCTGCAGCTACAAGTTGACAATTTAACTTTAGGGTTGTCAATTTATTGCATTTAAGAGTCAATGTTACAGGTAGATTTTGAATTTATCAAATGATTACATCTTTGATTCTGATTTATCTGCATGTCAATACTATACAGTTCACTAGAGGGCAGTATGGTCATATTTTACATCAAAATGGCTATACTTGTGATGGCCACATTTCAGTTTTCACAATAGACTGAAACATGTCAAAAACTAACTTATGAGAACATTTCCTGTGGTCTTTCATATTTGAAACGTAAGTCTTATTTGATTTGTCTTTCTTCTGCTTTAATGACAGATGGAGCTGCAAGAAATCCACAAACCTGATGATTCATAATGAGCATGATTTGAGAATAATTCAGTGAGCAACTTGTGTTTCTGACCGTCTGTACAAATGAGTTCATATGGTCAATGTCACATAACTGTTTTTCATAGTTACTTAGAAATAGATGTGCAGAATCTTGAATATTGATTCAATAAATAGAAATACAATAATATTTAATATTAATAATATTCTTTGTTTTCAATTTGTAGAAATTCTAAAACACTATTAAAACACTCTTACCTACAAATAGTGTTGAATCTGTAATAATTGTTAAATATAAATTTAATATAATATGAATTAAAATTATTTACAAAAATAATAAATGCGATTGTTTTCATTTTTTCAAAATCCTAAAATTGTATTACCTCGAAATAGTGCCGAATCGGAAATATTTATTTAATAAATAATAATAGTATAATAATAATATTGGATAGTAATTACAATAATAACAATATTCTTTGTTTTTCTTTTTAAATCCTAAAATATTACCGCTATTACCTTGAAATAGTGACAAATCTGAAATAATAATTAAATAAAACTAATAATAATCATGCTAATAATAATGTAAGAATGTATAATGTAATTCTAATTAAATATTCTATTATACTATTCTATTACACTATCAGTGTTTATTAGTCATAAATGAGTTTGAAGAAACATCTTGAGTTGGTGTGGTCTACAGCTGAAAATTATCTCACAATATAAACAGTTAAAAAGAGTATAAAACCAAAGCACACCATGTTCACACAACTGCTTACCCTGGCCTTATTTGTGTCTTAAAAGCAGTGACTATTTGCTGACTATTCGGCACATAAAACTTTCATTCGGTGCATTAATGCTGCTGAGTGGATTAATGTGCAGAGCGCAGGAGCTGCTTGGCCGAGGCGGCCTAACGGACACTGGAAGTGAAAAGCTGTCTGATGCTTGATTGGACCTTACCTCATCGTAAACTCACGCAACCTGGCAGAGTGAACTCTGACCCCCATCTGCGCCTAAACTGTAGTGACACGGTCAAGGTGACATGGCAGAGTGGAGCTGACTGAGGGAAAGGCTGTGCGCTGGGCTGTAGCCCAACATGGTCACATTAAGAGTCCACCAGTAAATAATTGAGACCGAGCAGTCGCAACAATGCAAACATGTTGTTATTAGTGTTTCACTTCAATATTCATAGCTGCGAGAGGGGACGGGGTGCTCGGAAAGTAGTGATGGAGGGTAGTGATGCGTTTATGCGTGTGTGGGCTGTATGCTTCTTTATGTGTGTTGGGTTGGGGGGTTTGCATGATGGGGTGGGTGTTATGGTGCCAGACCGTATTCTTTACAGTGACACCTAACCCAGTTTAAAGAAATAGTCCAGGTTAACTGACATCATCTGTGGTATAATGTTGATTACCAAAAAAAAAAAAACAATAAAATAAAATAATAATTTTGACTTGGTCCTCATTAACAAAATCTAAAATGTATGGTGAATGCTGATTTTTGGAGTATTTTAAAAGCAGTATTCTGTAAAAGAAGTATTATTTCAGTTGTAATGCTGTTCATATAACTTCACAGTCATTTTAGGTTTATGCCATTGTGTTGTCATTGTGATGAAGTTGTAAAATTGGATATATAACTTGGGTTAATAAGCTATTTTTCACACTTAAATCACCTTCAGGTTATAGTTCATTCAAAAATGAAAATTGGATTAAATTGTACTCACCCTCAGGTCATCCAAAATGTACATGAGTTTGTTTCTTCATCCGAACAGATTTGGAGAAATTTAGCATTACATCACTTGTTCACCAGTGGATCCTCTGCAGTGAATGGGTGCCGTCAGAATGAGAGTCCAAACAGCTGAGAAAAACATCACAATAATTCACAATAGGCTAATCCACACAACTCTAGTTCGTCAATTCACATCCTGTAAGGTGAAAATCTCTAATAAATTCCTCATTAAGATTTCAACTGTAAACCGTAATTTCTGGGCAAAATACCATAATGCTTCCTTCAGTGAAAAAGTCCATTCCCTGTTGTACTCCCAAAATCCACCAACATATTTGTTTAGCACTGATTTGGACTGTTTTTGCTTGTGAACTGTGCTTGATCTGTGCATATTTCTCTCCCGATTCAGACAAGATGACCTTTTCAGCCAAAAAAAAAATAAATAAATGAATGAATGTTGTGATGTTTTTATCAGCTTTTTGGACTCTCATTCTGACAGCACCCATTCACTGCAGAAGATCCATTGGTGAGCAAGCGATGTAATGTTAAATTTCTCAAAATTGTTTCAGTAAAGAAACAAACAACAAATTTAAACCAATTCTCATTTTTGGGTGAACTATTCCTTTAACATTTTTATGATTTTCTTTTGAATTTTTGTTAACATTTATTGGGTTTATAAGGAGATAAAAGTGAACATTAATTTTTATGGTTATCAACATTATACCACAAACTTTAATTAATTAAGATTGTGTTCAAAATGATATATATAAAACAGAATTTCATCTGATACACAAAATAAATTTTCATTCTTATTATGCCATTTTGCCATGCTCTAAATATAACACATTCCTCAGCTAAGCAGTTGCCAAGCCGGTTATGGGGAACACTACAAAACTATATACAATGTGTTATTTAAGGTTAAATATCATGGAAAGAATAATCTTTCCCAGATAAAGATCCAGTACATCTCAAATATAGATTAGGGAGTGTTTTTTATGATGAAACTAGAGCTATATCCAGTGCTCTGGATTCATCCCATCTTAAC